ACTTCCGCTGATGGGGTGTTGTTTTGGGTGTCTGAAAGCCAAAGACCCCTCATCTGATTGAACACCTCCGCATACCCGATCCCAAATTCCCGACAAAGAACAGAAACGGTGCTTGCTCATATGGGTCTGTGAACTTTTTTGAGGGAACCCACCAAAGTAAGTAGTTTCCCTTTGGTTTCCGCCTGGCGACAGCGAAGCAGCCCAGTGTATTTGTTTGGCTTCTCCGAACGTATTTAAGTCAAGAGAGAGAGCACTCGCTGACTCGTTGTTTGAGGCGAGCGACATGCGAACAACGCACGCACGAGGCACTGAAGATTGTCTAGACACAAGCACGTCCAGTTTTAGCGGATAGATTGACGGCTTGCTGCGAACCACGCTGATAAAACACCACTTCCTCCACTCCTCCGTCTACTTGGAATTGAAGACAGGCATCTTGTACAGCCCATGGAGCCAATATACTTATCGTTTTTTTGGGGATTTGTTGACAACTGTGGTTGAGTTTCCAAGAAGGTGGCGCATGGGCTTGAACAACTATGAAATTTTGGGGTACGGGGTTTAACCAAGTGACAGAACACGGCACACTGTCATAATTTCACGCATAAGTTGGAAACACTGATTGAACACTCAGGCCCTGGGCTGGACATGCATTTTGGCTTGTCAGTTAGCTCCGGAGCTTGCCCACAAGCATCCTTCCAGGAGAAGGTGCCTGGGAAGCGTGGAAACAGCGAGGCCGACTGGCACTGGGTGGGTGAGTTGTGGCCCTCGCGTTAATCCAATCCTTGACCTTCCGATCCACTCAAAAGCTATCCGGGAACACTACCTTTGCTTGCCAATTTTAAATGAGCTTTCTTTGGTTTCAAGCAGAATATCTATTGGACAAGCCACTTTAAAGTGGGTTTCTGTTTGGTGTGGCGATGTGTTTAGGTTGGCAATATTCGGCGCTGCGAGGGTTGTGAGAAATGCGACAACTGCTTTCCAGTAACAAATTCTTCACTTGGAAAGAAGCTGCGTTTTTCACAACCCTAATCCTGCGACATTTTGGTTTGGGTACCCTTCCCTTTTCATAGCGAGACCAATACCGTTTCCGGTTTGGGGGTCCTGTGATATGAGACACCTCCCATATCTTTGAGCAAGGAGCAGTGGCAAGACATGCGACTGGTGGGAGGATGTTCCGCCTTGACGTTGCTTGCGGCCCTTTTCTTTCTTCACGTGCCTTGGGTTGATTCCTTTAAGAGGAGGGCTTGGGTTGACCCTTATCCGGCGCCTCTCTCTGGTCGGAGACAACACATCGGACCCGGCAGGGGCGCTCGCCCTTCGGTGGGCTTTCGGAGGCCGCGGAGTTCCTGAAGTCGGAGGAGACGCTGTGGGCCAACTTCGCCGCGAAGACGCTGCGGAACACAGGCTGCGGGGTCTGGGGGGGGGGTGGCTTTTGGGGGGCAGGTTTGACTTGCCGCGATGGGTGCTGGGAATGACCGAGTTTGGGTGTTGGGAAAGAAAACCGGAAGGCGTTCCCTTACTGGAAACCACAAGGGATGGTCTATGGGGGTCATTCCCTGGCAGCGGGGAATGGAAGAGCGGGTTTGAGTTGAGCCACTTGCTCAAAGCCCGAGTAGATGAAGGTTAGTAAGGGGCAATCCCAACCATAGGTAGCTGCGGATATCCGCCTTCTCAATTCCTTACATTGTTCTGGCTGGTTGAATGAACCGGTTTTGGTTGGACTCCCTTAATTCAAGGAAACCAGAAGGGATGGTTTATGGGCGTCATTCCATTTTTCATTCCCGGCTGAGAACGCGCAAGTTGAGGGCAGTCCTTGTCAGATTACCTCAATTGAACAACATTTTGAAGAAATCAGAACAGTGGTACGTTTGTCGTGGCCTCTTGGAAGTATGCCCAACTTAAGGAGACCACGCTGGTCCGTGGTGGCTCCGCCGGTCATTGGCCTCTTGAGTGTGCCGAGCTCATGCCAAAGCGAAAGGACAGCCTTTAGATCTTGTGGAACGTACTCTTTCCGTCGAGCCTGCGATTGTTTGGAGCTTTTTGGTTGAGGGTGGAAGCTCAACTTTCGAAGGCCTGCTCCCCCTTCCATGTTGTCATGATATCCTTTGCAAGAGGATATAGGAGCAAGAAAGATGTTGGACCCATTCAAAGGGAAACCAACATCAGCATATGAGCAAGAACGGCACAGGTGAACAGAGACGTTTAAACAAGAGCTTGGCCCAAAACATTGATCCTACGTCACCATGCAACCCTTGAAGGAAATCCAGCCTTTTGACACAATTGACTGGCGAGCTGCCCCTCACTTTCCCCACACCAGAAAGGGTAACCATTGGATGGGCGCCAAAAGCGGGGGCCCCTAAAGTCGATGGGCCCTGTCCTCGTCAATGAGACGGCCAGGCCCCGCCATCGAGGAGGACTTGCCCGAGGAGGAGGAGGAACTTGCGCGTCGCGCACGTCGACGAGGGACATGGCCATGGGGCATAACCTATGGCTCCATTTTGGGGTGGATGAACATCCATTTGCTACCTATTTTGATGTTCACCAGGGGTACAGGGTTTTGTGGATGGGTTCTTTGCAGTCCCAGAGCACGGCCGTTGCGGCGGTGCTTTTCCCCCTTTTCCAATTTCGGTCTGAAATCTGCAGCTGCATGCCCAGATGGGTTGGTCTCAAGGAATGAGACGCCGAAGCGTGGCAAGGGTTTGGTTGTGGCTTCCCGTCAATACCATCCTAAACAGGGCCGAGGGGGAATTTGAGCAAGGGTTTTGGCGCGGCGCCACCTGCTTTTGTTGGTTGCGTAGATATTCAGCATCTTTGCAGTGAGTGGATGGCAGACCGCACTTTGGCAACAGGGAACCGATGGCGTTGTCCGGTCTTGACAATTTGGGCCAGACTTGTCACAGCTGCTTCGAAAGTGCTGATTCTTTTTGACCCAGCAAGGAGGACTAAGGCTCCAGTCTTTTGCCGGTTCAAGATCACCTTGCTGCAAACTAGATTGGCCGCTTCTTTTAGCTGTTTTTAATGTCTTTGGGATGCCATTCCCTTAAGAGGCTTCGGCAAAAGCACCCGGCATCTTGGCAGCGGGCTTCGCGGCCAGGAGATTGAAAAGGAGGATGCTATGGCGTGATGGGCCAAGTGTCGCTTGCGCTGTGGCTTTGGTGTTTGCCTGCGCTGAGTGACTGGCGGGTTCTGGGCTTTCGAAAGTTTGCCCTGGCAATTCCTGATGCAGACTTTCATATTCTGTTCCGGACATGACTGGTCTTTGACCCCAGTTCATGACCAACGACCATGGCACAGGCGGACCCAAAAGATTGCACGCATGAGCCATAGAAGGGGTCTCCCAGCTTGCTGTTTGGAACATTTTTAGAAGCAACTCTGCTGTTTCAAGGCAGTGCGTGTGTTGCGTGTGTTGGGCGTGAACGACTTGCTCGTGCCGACGGAAGGAACGCCAATCTTGGGGATTCCCCTAATTTGAGACGCGCCCATTTGCGCATTTCGACGCAACAGGTGGCCAAGCCGGAGGAGGTTGCCAAACTGTTTTGTGAAACTGAACGAATCCCTTTGCGTGCTTGCGTCTTCCTGAATTTGCATCTTTCCTTTGCAGTGCTTATCTTACTTCTGGGAGGTTCTGAAATGTTTCTTCAGACCACTCGCTGCCTCACCGGACCCAGCTGCCGCATCGGCACCTTCGCATGAGGCGGCACCCGCTGAACCGCGCAGCGCTGGTCTCGCTGCAAGACCTTGGCTTGATTCTGCCGCAGGCCGCAGCGCTTTTTTCTTTCTTTCTTTCTTTTTCGGAGCATCGAGTCGACCTGAACGGCATCCAGCACGATTAGATTGGGGTCTGTCTTTTTTTGAGGTACCTTTTTTCTTTGGGTGGGTTGGTTAAAGTGGAAGGTTCCAAGAAGGAGAACCAGTCTTGGGTGGGGGGGTCCCCTATTTTAAGACACATCCATTTGTCCTTTGGGGTAAACCGACCCCTGAGTGGACCCGTGTCGAGGGGCTTTGGTGCTCAAAGAAATTTGCATAAGGCTGTCCAAAAAGGATCCCCCAAAAGCGGATCCCCCACATGTTTCAGAGCTTCCGGATTATTCTCAGCAGAGAGCCGACTGAACTCACCTGCCATTTGTCCACCGGCGGGATATGCTTGGTCGGCCGCATCTCTGACAGGCCTACGACCAGGGCCTCTTCAGATTTCAGGAGCCGAGGAGCCAGATCAACCACAACGTCCTCTCCAAGGCGTCAGCTTTTCAGACGGCTGGCTGTGGAGCTGATGGGGTGATCAAGCCCCCCAAGGTCTTGGGGGCGATTTTTCCATCTTGAACGCCAAGCAACCAAGAACGACACGCCCTCGTGTTTTTTTTTCTCCCCATGGTTCCTTGGCGCGTGAGAAGCGATCTGTCGACACCCTTTTCTGGTTGGAAGACACACTGCGAGGAACATGGGTTTGGAGCCTTTAGTGGTAGCACGGACGCTTGGCAGCCCCTGAAATTTGCACCGGTCAGGCGATGAATGATCATCCCAAAGCCTTGATGGACATCATCGACGCGGAGGTGGATTGCGCTTTGGCCGCAGGACACCTGAGTCACAATCAAAAACCGGGTAAGTGAAGGTTAGTAAGGGACAGTCCCAACCATAGATAGCTGCAACCGCCTTCATAATTCTTTACATGGTTCTGGGTCAATACCTGGTTTTGATTATGAAGCCTTGAGTCCTACGTTTGGAATGCACAGCATGGGATCTCTAAATGAAAATGGGCGCTGCAGGCGACAGAAACCGGTAGCCGCGAACCTGTTGATCCTACGACCCGCCCACTTGGCTGAGTTTCCGGTGTGAATGGGCATGTCTTTTTTCGGGGCACCCCTGTGGTGGTGGACCAGTGGAGGACAAAGGATACCCACCATTTGAAGCATCCCCCCATTTGAAGACACTCTGACACGCGCGTGACTTCTTATCAAGCATATTAGCGGATGTGATAAGCTCACTTTGCGAGAGCGCACGAGGTGGCGAGAAGATTGGCCATAGTGACCCCTCAAAACAGGAGCGTTACCATAGCGGTCGATCTTGGAATCATCGCAAGCATGTTACCACTGGCACGCGTAGAACATAGCATATTGTTGACCCGCCTCGGCCCCCAACGGAATCCGATTTCCCCTCGCCACTGGCTGCATGCTCCGAGGCGAGCCGTCGATGTGCCGGCCTCGGCGCGGAATGCAGAGCAAGAGTTTAGGAGCCTTCGACGACCGCGTGGGTGAAATTGGGCAAAACGCGGGGGTTGGGGGGAGAGAGAGCGGGCCATGTGCTCCATTCACCCATTGCTCTTGTGAGCCCCCACCCCCCCCCCCCCCAATACTTTCCCAGAAGTTTTGGCCCATCTCAGGGGGCGCCGGCATTGGCAGAAGGACCAACCGCGCGTCGCACTTCCAGGTCGGCGCCCAACGACTTCCGGCCGAACCGCGCCATGAAGAGGTCCACGCGGACCTCCAAGGTGGTGCGAAGGAGGGGAAGGGGCAGGGAACCCTGAGGGAATCTGCGAGAACCCGGAAAAATGCCAGAAAGGGAATTCTTAGTGGAACCTGATGGAACCTGAGGGAATCCCAAACTAAACCTGAGTGAGGGGTGAGGGGCAAGGGGTTGGGGAAAGGAACCTGAGGGAATCCCCTGCAGTTTTTTTTGGGTTTCCACGTGCCACAACATTTGTGTGGTCGTTTTGGAGGTACCTGTGTCGAAACACCCGCTTTTTTAGTTCTTCCCATTCGGAGATAAACCCATAGGTTCTTCCCAAGTTGCTGTGTCGGGGATGTAGTGTGCTTGCTTGCTTGCTTGCTTGCTTGCTTGCTTGCTTGCTTGCTGGCTTGGCTTGGCTTGGCTTGGCTTGGCTTGGCTTGGCTTGGCTTGGCTTGGCTTGGCTTGGCTTGGCTTGGCTTGCTTGCTTTGCTTGCTTGCTTGCCTGCCTGCCTGCTTGCCTGCCTGCTTGCTTGGCAGTCTGTTTGTTTGTTTGTTTGTTTGTCTGTTTGTCTGTCTGTCTGTCTGTCTGTCTGTCTGTCTGTCTGTCTGTCTCTGCCTGTCTGCCTGCCTGCCTTGTCTGTCTGTCTGTCTGTCTGTTTGTTGGTTTGTTTGTTTGTTTGTTTGTTTGTGAAAACAGGAAAACAAGGTGCGACCACATGACAAGCAAGGGCCGGAACTCCAAGGCAAGGTCAAGCATGCTAGGAGCGGTTGACATGGAACCATTTTGCTCCAGTCACTGCAACAGAGCAAGTGAACCAAACATATCAGCAGACAAAACTGCCAAGCTGCGGCCTCCGGGGACCTCTCGCCGCTAGGACGGGGGTTTTCAACTCCACCACCTTCCGAGACAAGGTGATGGAGGAGAAGCTGAGGCAGGCACCTGTGTAAAGTGAGCCACTTGCTCAAAACCGATTCGGGTCGATGAAGGTAAGCAAGGGACAGGTTTGGCCAGAAACCGCGGCCGCCTTTCTATTTCCGTGAAGCATGGTTCCGGGTTTGACCCTTTTTCATAATTACCGGGTTTTGGCAAGTGACTCGAGTGGGCCTACCAGGAACCCACCAGGCTTTTTGGCCATAAACCAAAAGGGTGGCGCTCCTCGTTCTGTTTGTTTTGGAATCGGGGGGTCCCCAAAATGGCAACGGTCTGCTTTTTGGCTTCCCTTCAATACGAAGCAACAGACGATATCCCCAAGAAAGATACATCCAAACAACCAGACTTTGATAGCGAACTTTGATATGACACACTCGCCCCTTCGAATTTTCGGAAGCTGGGATGTGTGGGCAACACATCCAGTTGCTTAGGCAGGTTTATGTTGACGCGTGAAATGAGACAAGGATTCCGTCCAGCCGCTTGGGATCAGAGGGTTGGATTCCTATTTGGCATATACCCTTACGGTGATAAAACCCTTAGCTTTGCCCGCATGCCCGCCTGGCCGATGTTGTGCCAGGCTGACAACCAGCAAGGCGATCCCCCTGGACGTGCAGAAGTTGGGGTGCCCGGATATCTCTCACGGGGCGCTCCGGTGCTCGGACTGTGGCCGGCGAACCGCAAAGGGCAGGATCTGCCAGGGTGCATGTGCATATTTTTGGCTATGAGGTTCCTCGTTTGTCCGTGACAGGCCAGTGGGATGATGGTTTTTGATTGGAAGTACGGGGACCACAAGGACCTCTGCTTTGTGGCCTCTTGGGAGTGATCAAATCATTTTGCGCCCAGACAGCTACCTTCGCAGGGAGAACAAAAGCTTTGTGAGTGCACGAAACGGGCTGGTTTTTGCCAGGGGGTCAGAAACTGGGGCTGTTTCTCTTCCTGCCACCTGCTGACCGGGTGACCCCTTCAGTGGCTGAAACAGTTTGAAGGATGAAACACAATCCCCAACAAGAAGCTTCCCCAGCAACAAGACCGCTGTCCGAATTGGATGGCAATTCATCTTCGCTCCAGATTTTGCAGAACATTCTGGCAGTCTGGAACGGTTTTCTGTCAACCAGTCAGAATCGTCCGCTTTGGCGACGCATCCTTTTCTTGTCGAGTTGGTGCGATCCCCGAACCCACGGAAGGTACCTTTCCAAGAAACATGGTCCAAACTAGGCACTTCCGACCGGGTTGCGAGTTAGGTGAGAAGGTTTTGGTTGAATCTCTTGCTACCAGAGGAACACCCATGGCTTTTGCCACCAAAACAAGGGAAACCACCATTTACAAGGCAATGCTCAGGTGTTGTCATGTGAGGTTTTCTGTAAACCCTGCGGTCCAATTCCTGGTTAATTTTGACCCATACCCATTTGGTTTCCCGCTTGGTTTATTCATCCGGGGGTCAACTTCACACACGGAGAACGGGTTGGGGAGGGCAGATCCCCTTCGCCGTGTGAGTTGCCCGCGTCGCCCAGTGCCGCGGCATCGGCCATCCAGACCACCTGGCGGAATTGGCACAAGTACCTGCAGGCAAAAGGGTGGGGTGGTGGAGGAGGTTGGGTGGGGTTGCTAAGCAAAGCTTAGGTAGAACAACTCCACCTGCCTTCGCGGCTAAACGAAAAGGGCGGCTATGAACCTGAGTGGGCGTTGATCAATACCCCCAAAATGACCATGAGTAACTTTCCCCATGTGAGAAATATCATCTTTTCAGTGGTTCTACCCAATAGTCATCCCACGTTTACCCGACTTTTTGATCGACCCCATGTCCATTTACCTAGTTCTCCTCACGTGGAAAACGGAATTTGACTTCTTGCGGCTGCGGTTGCCGTAGTTGCTGTAGGTCGGCCCTTTTTGCGCATTGGCAAACTTCGTGTTCAAGTCAGCACAAGTTGCCGGACTTGCTCATCAAACACGCGCCTTCGTGGTTCTGTACATGGCTTCGAGTATAGCATCGCGAGCGGCTCCGCTGTACAGATCAGGTTTTGGCTAAGAGCGGCTCGGGCTTTCTCTGGGTCCCGTTGCTGTACGGAAGCACGCAGAGAACTGCAGAACTGAAGAACAAGTTAGTGACGAAGCATGTCGCCCATTTTCTGAAAGAACTCTGGCACATCCATTTTTTCAGCACACACGGCCCATCGCCCTGGTATGAAGTAAGAGCCTCGCAGAGTTGGTTCTCAGTGGAGACTTCGACGCCAATACCTTTGCCAGCACCCAAGGCCTCCGGCAGCAGGTGGTAGTTCCAAACCTGGATGTCGTTGTATGAGTCCTCCCGCTCCGGGTGGATGACACGCTCGGCAGTGTACCCCGCATTGTTCAGGATGATAAGCATGAAGCGCAGGTTGTGTCGCAGCAACGTGCCTAGTTCCATGCCTGTCATCTGGAAAGAACCATCTCCGTCAAGACATACAACACGACGCTCAGGCGCCGCAAAGGCCATACCCATGGAGATCGGGAACGCACTGCCCAAAGACGCCCAGTTCCCAGGTCCTGCTGTCACAGTGCCTCTTTTCAGGCGCATCCTTGACATGCTGACATAGCCTCCGGTGTTGCCAGCAACGATGTCGCGCTCTTGCACGAAGTGCGCAAGCTGGTGGTACAAGAAGTCCATGGTCAGGGGCGTCTGCTCGGGGTTTGCGGGCAGCCTGCTGTAGCTGAAAGCAAATGTGTCCTCGACCTCCAATTTCGCACGCGGGGTGATCTGTGCGGCAAGACAAGGCAGAAGCTGTTGCAAGTAAACGCCTTGTATCACAGTACCCTGCAAGTTCACTGAGTTATGACCCAGCTCGAGCACGCGCTCCTCTTTGAAGCCGGGCTTCCAAGAAGATCGAACTCCGCTCGGGGCATGCCAATGGTAAGGAGTATGTCGGCACCTTCGGTGGCATCGAGCACTTCGGGAGAAGTGGCACCCTGGTAGCAGCCCACGCAGTTCGGAAGGTGTTCCAAGTAGCCGGCTTTCTGGGCAAACGTCGTTGCAAAGAGCAGGTTGCTCCTGGCAAGCATCTCTGCAACCACATCTTCAAGCCCGTCACGCTCCACGAACAAACCCACCAAGACTCCCACCTTCTCGGTCTTGTTCACCGCTGCAGCAACTTGATCCACCACCCGACGAAGCACTTGCTGGTCTCCGCAAGGGGCCTGGTAGTTGAAGGGCCCAGGCATCGGAATTCTGGCCTTTTGCATGTCATAGGGAATCTCCAAATACACTGGCTTCTTCTGGTCCAAAGCAACCTGGAGCAGCCGGTCGATGGTCACCACGGCCTCCGCTGCAGAATCTATGCGAGCCACTGCAGCCGTAATGGGCGTAAAAACACGAAGTGTCGAACTCAAGTTGCCTCCAACGGAATGATGCAATTGCAGCTTTCTCTTGGACTGATACTCTGCTGTTGGTGGGGCACCGGACACTAAGAGCATAGGGACGCAGGCATCATATGCACCGGCCACCGCATTCACGGCGTTGAAAGCGCCGGGGCCAAACGTCACTGCAGCGACTCCAAAGCCCCTGATTCTGCTGTACCCATCTGCCAGGTATCCAGCCGTCAGCTCGTTGCAGGTACCAACGTGTTGGACTGGGCTTCCCTCTTCGATCAAGTGATCGAAAAAAGGCAAGACGTAATCCCCAGGAATGCCGAAGACGTGCTGGACGTTCAAGTCTGCAAGCGGGAGATCAGGAAGGACGACACGCTCTGCGCCATGATTCTGGCAACGACAAAATGCTGGTTCTTCAGGACGAAGCTTGATCTGGAGCCAAAAAAAATGGTGTTGGCAAAGATCTTGCAATCAAAGCACCTCATCCAAGCGACAACTTGTTAGGCCTGTATGCGGGAGGCCTCAATTAGATTTAAGAATCATATTGTAATTCCTGGCAGGGTTGTCTTCCGCGGCTATCATAGCCAGGTCTTCACAAACAAAAGGCAAACCCACCTACCTACCCACCCCACCCCACCCCACCCCACCCCACCCCACCCCACCCCACCCCACCCCACCCCACCCCACCCCACCCCACCCCACCCCACCCCACCCCACCCCACCCCACCCCACCCCAACCCCACCCCACCCCACCCCACCCCACCCCACCCCACCCCACCCCACCCCACCCCACCCCACCCCACCCCACCCCACCCCACCCCACCCCCCCACCCCACCCCACCCCACCCCACCCCACCCCACCCCACCCCACCCCACCCCACCCCACCCCACCCCACCCCACCCCACCCCACCCCACCCCACCCCACCCCACCCCACCCCACCCCACCCCCCCCACCCCACCCCACCCCACCCCACCCCACCCCACCCCACCCCACCCCACCCCACCCCACCCCACCCCACCCCACCCCACCCCACCCCACCCCACCCCACCCCACCCCCCCAACCCCACCCCACCCCACCCCACCCCACCCCACCCCACCCCACCCCACCCCACCCCACCCCACCCCACCCCACCCCACCCCACCCCACCCCACCCCACCCCACCCCACCCCACCCCACCCCACCCCACCCCACCCCTTGTTTTCATTGCCTTCCGTTCTTGTGTTCGGTGCCCTTGCCCCTTTCTGCGGGTCAGGGCCTTGTGGTTTTCATCATTTCCAGTGTGTTCAGTGGGTAGAAAGGGCTGCTTGCCGCTCGGCCGCATCATTTCATTTGCTTGGGCTTGAATTCTCGGGGAGAGGCCACGGCTGCTCCGTCGCCGGGCGCTCTGTCCCCGGCCGCTCCGTCCTCGCCCGTTCCAGTCCGTTTCAACCGCTCGGACACAAACCGCGCGAGCCCGTCGCCAGGCCTGGCAAGGGGCCTTTGGCGAAAGGGCCTGGTGACGGGCCCAATTGTGGTTTTGCAACAGGAACAAAATACCGTCCTTGCTGTGCCTGGCTTGCAAGCAACAGCTTGCTGCAGTGGAGGCTGCATCTCCTGTGGGATGCTTTCGCGTCAGGCTGCAGTTTGGTTCCAATCAATCAGTGCCGCCGTTTTTTAGAAGGGCACGGCTCAGGCTTTGAGAGCTTCTTGCTTGCGGAAGGTTGCCTCAAGTGCTTTAGTTTTAAGGATCCTTGATCGCCCGTTAGAGCACCCTCAAACATGGCTTTGTGGTTCCTCATGCAAATCATGTCCGCGGAAAATTCCTCGTTTTCAGATCCATGGTCTGTATTCACCATCTACCGCAGCACTCCGGACGACTAGGGGTCACCAACCACTTATTTTCCATCAAGAAGTGGGATTTAATTGCCAAGCTTGCTTGCTTGCTTGCTTGCTTGCTTGCTTGCTTGCTTGCTTGCTTGCTTGCTTGCTTGCTTGCTTGCTTGCTTGCTTGCTTGCTTGCTTGCTTGCTTGCTTGCTTGCTTGCTTGCTTGCTTGCTTGCTTGCTTGCTTGCTTGCTTGCTTGCTTGCTTGCTTGCTTGCTTGCTTGCTTGCTTGCTTGCTTGCTTGCTTGCTTGCTTGCTTGCTTGCTTGCTTGCTTGCTTGCTTGCTTTCTCCATCAAATCGCTGGGTTAGGTATATCTAAGAGTTGAAGCACACACACACACACACACACTCCTTCATGCCCCTTGATTCCCTGGTCACCAGCCCTGTTGGGCATTTAACTTTTGGGCCTGCCAAAGGGGGGGCTGTTGATGCACCAAAATAGTATCCCTGGAAAAACCGCTGCGTTGCCAGGAAAACTCGGAGTGGATGACTGTGACCTGGATCTGCGCCACGATGATTCAATCCCACTGGCGGCCGGGATCATAGAAACAGACCTCCCGCGAGTTCAAGAAGACATTTGAGGAGAAACTCGGGGGATTTTTTTGCAGCTGCCGTGATTTTCCCGGTGCCGAAGAGTACATGAATCAGTGGTGCAGGCCGTTTTCCTTGTGATTATCGATACTTTGAGACTGGCTGCCTTAAACTTACATGGCTGTGGGACAAAAATAGGTACCCAAAATGGTACCTTGGAACCAAAGACTAACCTGCGCAACTGGCCCTTTCATTTTGAGCCACACCCACATAACCCCACTATGTCGATTATGCTCCATTCCCGCGCGATGGCCTGAGGTCCTACCACATCCGGAGAGTCAAGCTGGACAGAATGGTCACCAACATTCAGGCAGAAACCGCCAGGTGAACCGTAAGAACCCGCAGAGTGACGGTTTTTCGATCTTGTCTTGGGCTGCTTTGAGCCAATAGAGGACTGCCCCGACCTTCTGAGCTTTTGAGGTCAAAGACCTTTTGGACCGATTTTGATGGTCTGGCCACAAAGCAAGCATGGAAACTAGGCGGAGAGTCGAGGGACATTTGGCTTCCCTCCAGTTGGGTGGTCAAGATGGCCTTAGTGATCCACCTCCATGTTCCTTCCAAAGTCACGTCGGCGTTCACGGCAAACTTTGCCTCGGTGGCATGGAGCACATCTTTGGTCATCTGCGGCTGCGCAAGCTGGCTTGGCCATGCGGCAGGCCATGTACTTGCAAGTGCTGACAGCGTCATGTGGTTGAAAGGCTTTTGCTTGGCTGAATTGCCTCGACTTGGCCATAGAGGGAAATTTGTGAGGGTTTGCACTGCGCGAACAGGTATGACATCATTACACGCAACGAAGTTCCGCTACATCTTTCCATATATTAGAATCACACTGCAATTCTCAGAATGATTCCTTAGAGCTTCCTGAATCGTTTCGTGCCGGGTGCATTTCCTTTCCTTCACGGACTTTCGTCACTTGAAAAGGAACACCATTTGGCAAACAGACCAGACCAAAACCACCCACTTGAGGAGGAAGCTTTTCCGGCCCCGCAGTTCGGCTTGCCAATTGTCGTTTTTTTGACACTTTGCAAAAAGGAAGACCATTTTAGTGGCAAACAGACCAACCAAAAAACACGTTTGGCGGCGTTTTTTTGTTTGTTTTTGGGTCGGTCCGCTCGGGAAGCGCTGCCGGCCTCCGTTTGGCGCCCCCGTGGCCGTTGCCGCCGCCACCGTCGCGCCAGAAAATCTGCCGCGGGGTGCTGGTGCGGCGGGCCCTGCGGCAGCACCGGGCCGCGGTGAAGATCCAGAAGCGCCGCGGCGCTCAGCGGAGCGCGGGTGGGTTCATGGGGGCTTCGGGGGGGGGGGGGGGGGTCAGGGGGTTGGGGGCGTTGGCGGGGAGGGACACAAAACAAGTACTACCATGGCAGTGGGAAAAAACATATCCTGCCCTTTGCAACGCCGGAACCAGCACCAATGCAGTAGCCACCTTTTGGTGTCTTCGGCGCCTACCCGCCAGGCCCAGTCCAAAAACCACCCTGGCCGGTGCTTTTTGTTTATTTTTCTCCGGAGGCTTCTGACAGACACGAAGCAGCCACCGGCCAACAATCATGGGGGCTGGGAGGGAGCCCAAATAGGCCCTTATATTAAGCCCTGAATAAGGCTACTTGGCAGTACTTGTTTGGTTGCTTGGCCCCTCCCTCCCCATCGGTGGTCCGCGGTCCCCATTCTGAGACCTGGCGTTTCATTCATGGCCTCTAGGGGTTTCATAGCGTTCCTGCTCCAAGGTGCCATGTTTTGGTGATTGTTTCCTGTTTGTTTGCTTGAGTTTGTGCTCGCATGTTGCCTCTGGTGCGGTGCTTTGGCGGGAGTCCTGAGTTCCGGAGCCAACAACAGCCAGCAACAGCCAGCAAAAAGCAACTCACAGCTGACAAACAATAGCGACAAAGAAGACCGGTTTGAAGCTTCCAGGGCACTTTTGTGATGCTGTAGGTCTAGAGTCTTTTTGGATTCGTCTTTCTAAGCCTAGGAAACCCTTACAAGGGTTCTATCACTTGGTTGCCGAAGGGACATCTAGCCAACCCTGGCAGACCCATGGACTTCATTTTCTCGGAACTTGGGCGGAAGGAGATGCATGCACATTCTGCACTGTCTGATCCTTTTGCAAGTGAAACACCTGCTTGGAGAATGGTTGTTGAACCGAATTGCTTAAGGGTATGGGTTTAGGTCCGAAGAAGCCGCCGATGGGTCAAAATGTGGGGCTGCAGGAGAAACTCTTTGGGAGCAACAGCGTGGGACTCACCATAAACACCAGCCGGATTCATCGATTTCTCATGCTCATGGTGGGAACATCGCATATGTTCAACGCAGCTCATGTGGCCATTTGCGTTTTACAGGGCCTCCCAATTCATTTGTCGGGTAGCCGTCGAAGGGCAATGCCCGGCATCTCCAAGGGGAGTGCTTCAATTGGTCACGGGGATGGCACCCGTAGTCATAGACAAGGGCCACTGGGTCCAAATTTTCAGCCATGCCACTGGGTTTTGGCACTGAGGTGTCGTGGGTATGTTGACGAGGTGCCTGGCACACGGGGTCTTTCGATCGGGCGGAAGCATCAGGTTGCCACCTGACCCCCTTCTTGCTTGTGTTGACAGGTCATAAGAAAAAAACAACCAACAAATCACAGTGTGGGTCTGGTCACCTAAGCTGGTGCACCGGGAGGCCTCCCTCCATGGTGGCTTTTTGGGTCTCTTACGTGCACCGGGGGTTTTAGCAGACCTCACTGAGAGCTGGCAAGGATAACGTGTGGATTGCAAGATCAAAGATCACTTCCTCCCTGGACAAACAAAACAACTCAAGGGCACCGCAGGTTTCAATCCATGTTTTCACCAGGGTTCCATTTGGGGTACCTATGCTTGACAACCACAGCCATATCAAGAGGCGACGGGCCCACGTCCAAAACCAGGGGGTGCCTTCGGTGCCTATTTGGGTTCGGATTTTGCGGTCTCGGGCTCAGGCGAAAGGCTTGGATTGGTGGGCCCAAAGTCGAGTTGGGGACATCTGACAAAGTATTTGGACCGGTTTCCCCGGATGTTTGGAGCGGCCAAGAAGGCCCTCGAAAATCGAGTGCTTCCCAAGGAGCAAGGGAAAATGCTCGTGAGGAGGTTGGGGGTGACTCGCCAATCTTTCCCAGGCAAACTGATCACAGCCTTATTCGCTTGGGCACGGGCATGCCTCAATGTCGGGTGAAAAGTAAACGACTCTTGGCGATGCCATATGAAGCCACATAAGACATGCCATGCTTTGAGTTTGGGCCAACTGATTCAGATTTCAACCTCAAAGCCGGTCAGTCAGCTTGGACGGAGGTCCGCTTGACATTTGTGCAGCTGACCGCATGTTGGCACCTTCGCCGCGGTCCGCTTTCAGCCGTAGGAATCCAGTAGGATCACCATGTCTGAATCCACGAGTCGCCAGACCGACAAGTCTCGCCCCCCTTCTGACACGTTGACGCCCCGACGCCCCGACACGTTGACGCGGAGATTGCTCAGACCAAAAGGCCATCCGATTTGTCAGCCAATAACAGTTCCAACGACCCCCGGACTGTCCGGGGGTGCGCGGATGGTGCGGTTCAGCTCCGGGACTGCTGCGACCTCAGCGAACGGGGGGGGCCCTGGCTGGACCTCGAAAGTGGACTTTGAAAGGGCTCCACTTCCGAACCGAAGGGGGCCTGACTGACCTCAAAGGTGGACTTCTTTGAAAGGGCTCCATGCTCATTTCCTGAAGAGGATCAGGGGAAGAAATAAGCTTGGCTTGGCACTGGTGCAGTAGGTCAAGCAGAACCGTGAGAACGAGCTGGCTTCCGTTTTTGAGTACCCAACTTTTAAACGATCTTTCGCACCCATACGGGGACTCCACACACGCACACATACCTCCGGGGAGAATTCTCAATTGGTGGCCCTGCTTTCATAGACTCTGGTCTGAATATATATATATATATACACATACATATAGAATAACATACATATAGAGTGTATATATATATATCTAGCAGGGGTTCAGGCCAACACGGCAACCAGTCGCGTGATGTTGGCTTGTGGTTGGTGTAGGGCGTGTATGCGCATGTAGATGCATTGATGCCTCATCGAGGAGCTCACGTTGTACATACTGTCAGCCATGCCCAACAAGCGAAACTTAATTGTCTTCCCCACAACAACATACGTGTTTCGTCGCACCAAAACTTTCTGTTGTCAGGATGTTTCATGGGCAACACATCCGACCCATGGCCGACCTGCGAAATTTGGAACGGCTCTCCGGGAAACCGCGAGGCTGACTCCAGTTTTCGATTCCAATTCCCCCGGTTCGGTGTTCCAGCCAGCCAGTCCAGTTGCTTGGAAAAAATAAGCTTCCACTTTGAGGTTTAAGGCTTTTTTCGGGCCGGGCACCTGTTTTTTTTTTCTTCTTTTTTTTTTCTTTCTGTTTTTTTCTTTCCACAAACAAACCATTGGCGTGGTGGATTCTTCTTCCATCCTTGCTCCGTTCGAGCTTGGCAACCCACAGCTTTGAAGAACAAGGATTGCTCATTGGGGTCACAAGCTTTGGACAATTCTCGTATTCAAGAGGCATCCCCTTCTTCAAAAAGTCTTGCCGTGACTTGGTCTCCCGAGTGTAGCTTTGTCTCCTATCCAAGAGATTCGAGGGGCGGAGGGAGCCCGCAGCGAGGTCTCCGGTTCCACGCTCGGCCTCAGCGCCAGGCCGGAGCGTAGATTGTTGGGGACACTTTCGCGTGACACGATGCCCTTGAAATTGGTTGGAGTAGCCAGTAGCCCCCTCTTCTTTCTTTCTTTCTTTCTTTCTTTCTTTCTTTCTTTCTTTCTTTCTTTCTTTCTTTCTTTCTTATCAGGCTTCGATAAGAAAAGACTCAGATGGAAAAAAACAGGGTGTCCCATTCTTTGTAGCATTCTTTTTCCCAAAGAAGTGACAGTGTGAAACCATGGGAACCAACCAGTACATAAATTGAAAGGTGTGTGAGTGGAATCCAGTGACCCCCTTCCAACTTCCCTCAAAGAGTCCAATCCGAGTCCCTGGAATTTCCTCTACATGGGTGATTGTTGGCTAGGAATCAGGAGAGAAGAACCTCTGTCGGTGGGAAGTCCCACGTTGGTCACCGGCAGTACAACGGTGTTTTTGACTTTTCTCGGTTGGAATCACTCTGAACTCTGAACCTTCAAGAGGGTGTCTTTGCCTTGGGACCTTTGCTTTTGAACGGGGCCAAATGGCCACTTTCCGCGATGCCGGGAGAGTATCCTTTGTGATCATGGGGATTCGCCAAACAGTATCCAGCCCATGTTCCGCAGGCATTGCCCTATTTCAGAGCCGAGCACATTGTTTTTTGTCAAAACGAGAACCTGCTCCCTTTTTAGGACGCTGGAGTCGTTTCGGGCTACAGGCTTACAGGAGGGCGGCAGACTCCGTTTCGGGTCTCAGGGTTTGCCTGTGAAGCGTAGAGCACGTCGTCTGAACCTTCGAACATGCATCTACGTACCTTCCTGAACACTTGCATGGAATTCCTGGAAGGCCGCATTACTCAAAAGGACCCTTTGAACCCCTGCAACCAACACCTTACGCAAAGGCCCAATATTTGGGTCCACAATTTCGACAACCCAGCAGCTGGGGTTTGAGCTCTTAATCTTGTGGAATACTGGAACCAGGGATCTGAGAACGGAAGGCCGTATTCGCCGTATTTGTCTGAGCCAGCCCCCGCTTGCGGCTTTCCTCTTGCGTGTCGGGGGGTTTGCTCCCTCCCCGCGCGCCCAGAACTTCCACGTCCGACGACTGCTCCTCGGAGGCGGTGTGGCAGTTTTGTGCCAGTTGGGTTCTGCTGGTTTCTGATCCGCCAACCATTTTTTCCCGCAGCGCGCTTTTCTTGTCCTCAAGGTTGATAGAACTGCCGGATTGGCGATGGATGGCTTTTTGGCCTAGCGGCTTTGATGGCCATACACATATATATATATATATATATATACACATATATACATATATATATATGTATATGTATATATGTATATATATATATATATATATATATATATATAGATGTTGCATATGCGTATACGTTGCTTTGGCCGGATATGTTGACGGGATGACGGGTAAGATATGGGTTGGCGAGATAATGCTTTCCGCCCGTTTCCGAGGATTTGTTGGCCATTTCTGGCGTCTGGGTAGGCTATGTGCTCCGAGGAGCTGTGGTTTAGACAAATTCTATGCCATCGATGCCTGGCGGTTCCAGAATGAGCTGCCAAGATTTGTCTATGCCCTTTGTAACGGAGGTCCTGGCCCAAAGAGACTCCACCAATGAAGGATTCGGGGGCCACGCCACCCGGAGGCATTTCGGTTCGGCATGGATGAAGCAGTAGGAAAGCCAGCAACGGAAACATGGCAACTCTCCACCTGGGTATGTTTCCACTTTGCCCCACGGCTGGTTCTCATGCCAGGGAACAACTCCGACGTCTTTTTTTTGCCAACTGGAGGAAAATTGAGGCTTCTACTGAACCTCATTTCATTGGGGCATCCAAAATCGGGGGCAGCCCCTTTCGCATTTTTTTTTTAAATGGTTTTGCAGGGAACATGAAATGATGCCGCCCATTTTTTTGGTGTCCCTATTTTTTTGACACCAACATAAATGAGGCTCTCCGAATGATTGTCTTGTTTTTCAAGAATCAACCATAGCGCCTCATGGCGATTTCCACGGTGTTCGCTTAATTTGGTGCCATCTTTGGGTGGACAGTATAATGGGGGACAGCCCAAACATAGCCAATAGCATCTCTTTTCGCGTCTCCTTTTGTTGTCCAAAAGGCACTGAGAGCAATCCTTTGGCCACCATCATGGTCTATAATCCCCCATAAGTGCAGAGGGATATTCTGATAGGGCCTCCCTGAATGGCCCAAACGTGCAGGGCTTTTTTGCCTTGGGGGTTCCCCCTTCCTGGTTTCATCTTGCTGGTGCTCAGCAGGGAATGAGAAATGGAATTACCCTTATAAACCATCCCCTATGGTTTCCTTTATGGGAATCCTCACATTCCCTACTTACTGAGCACCAGCAAGTCACCTGTGCCTCGCTAGGCCTCCAGCCAATCCAGTGGACCAATGGGCCTGTCCGACACGCCCCAGGCTTGGGAGTGGTTGAACATTTGGCAACGGATCCTTCTTGAGCCTTGTTTTGGTGGACGCTGGAGGAATTTTCCGCGGACCCACAAGCGACACACTTGTTGCAGAGGGGTGGCAGCCAAGCTCCAAAATGGCTGGACAGAACCACCAAGAGGTCGCGAACTAAACACACACCCAAAGCAAGAGGTAGCGTGACAGGCAAAGTGAGCACAGCTGCACCAACACCACCAGGTTTTTGCCGGGATTCTTACCCCCAGGCTGCAGTCTCCTGGGCTGCAAAGTTGCGGGGAGCTGGAGCAACTTTGCGCCATATTTCGTTTAGCGTGGCTATTTCTTAAGTCCATCAGCCACTGTCTAGAAATCAATTTGGATTCGCTTCTTTTTGAAAATTCCCAGTGGTTCTTCCACCGATTTGGTGCTTGTCTAGTACTCGTGTCGTACTCTTTTCGCACTTTGGAGGTGGGGGAAAGTGATTTGATTATTAGGTTCGATCAGAAGTTTGTAGCCTATGCCAATGGAAAAAATGCTTTGAGGATGGTCTCTGATCCCCAGCGCAGCGTAAGGGCCTCCGCGGTCTGGGGTGAAGAAGGGGGACTTGCTTTTTGGCCGCCCAGCTAGGATCACCGCCTTTTTGAGTCTCTAACCATTTCTTCCAAGTGGGCTGAACCCCAGGGCCCTGAATTCCCGAAACCTTCTCTTCGAGGAACACCCCGCGCCTGAGAAAAGCGGCAAGCGGTTTTCACAGGAGCCCCGATGCACTAAGCCCGTTTCCCGGGTGACAGGCGGAACAGTTCCCCACTGGCAGTGCCTCCTCCGGGGGAAAATGTGTCCAGGAGGGCCGCCTGGGCCGCAGCATGGCGCGAAGCGAGCGCTGTGCCACCAAGGCGCCGAACCGTTCTCGCGGCCGATTTTTTTGTTTTTGCTTTTTTCACCCGCCTCATTTTTTTTCTAGTGCGCCACTTGTGGCCGAGTTAGGGGTCCCTCAGTGAAACGGGGAGCAGTGAAGGGAATCCCACTTCGAAGCTTTTTCAACTTGCCTCTGGCTCGAAAGCATCTGCTGGAAGGCTCTGACTCAAATAAGCCTTTGACTGAAAGCAATAGGTGGCTGCAAAGGCATGACATTTGGGGCCGGCAATTGGACCTCACCTACATTTGGGGGGGGGCTTATTCCCAGAAGACTTTTGACCTTGTATCATGACACTTCAAATTTTGAATGTACAGATGTCATTTTTAGTTGGACAAGCTGAAGTGGCCACTCTGGGCAAATATCACAGCAACCTCGCAAGGGAGGTATATGACCAATAATGACAATTCCTCTCTGGGGAGCCCTTCTTTTCGAGGAGCAAGTATATGAATTGATTCACCCCTCTTTGTTGTCTTTGATTTGACTGAAATTGCCTTTGGATTTTTTGGCCGTAGACTGGTTCCCCGAACACCAACCGGTTTGTCCCCTTAGAAGCAATCAACATGGCTCCTCCCCAATTTCACCCCAATATTTTTCATGTTCTCTTGGGCAACGAGGAACATTGTCGTTTAAGTGGCAAGCGCAAGGGGGGTTGGTTAACGGAGGATATCACCTTTCGCTCGGCGGTTTTGACGAATCCCAAGGCTCCTAGAAGCTTCCTTTTGCCCACCCTGCTTGGTCCCCCTCAGGGAAACCATGACAAGACAAAGCCGCAAATTCGTAACAGTGTTCAAAAGCTTTCATATGGTGACAACCCAAATTCAGCAACCCCCACCTGAAATTTCCTCTAATTGAAGAAAGAACAAATGAGACACATTTTGCGTGCAAGGCAAACAAGAGGTATCTTGACAGTGTTTCCAGAAGTAGGGCACCTTTAACAGTGATAGGTGTTCTTTCAGTTTCTCATGACAACAGCATCCAAATTCGGTCACCCATCCTAAGACCTCGAGGTGGTTCTTTATTTTACGGACATCACTTGTACGGTATCCAAAAAAAAGCAAAAACTGACCATTTCTTGTTTAAAATGGAACATATGGTCAATGTCCTTGGCTGCCGTTTGTTTCCCACTGCCCTCACGCGGATCTCAACTCCCATTTTCAGGACCGGCGCACCGCGGTGTCCCCCTTCCGGTCCCTGCCGGAGCTGCATCCGCACGAGGCTTCCTTCCGCGCTTGTGGCGGAAGGTCGTTTTGGTTGGAAGCGTCTTTTGGATTCCAGCTGGGTTTCGCCATTTGGGAGGTCCGACAGCTTGGAAGGGAACAAGACATTCATGCACGAGCTCTGTCTAGTTTTGCCGCGGACCGGCCAAGCATGTTGGAATTGGCAGGCTGGTTGCAAAGGACTGCCTCCTCATTTAGCCAAAGTCCGACGCAGCCTATTGTGACATAAATCACTCTTTAAGGAGTGTGTCTGTTTGTCCATGTTCGATCTTTTTCCTCGAAATCATATCAAAACCAAGAGGAAACAACATGTGGTAACCTGGAACATGGTTTTCCCTTTGGTTTAGCTTTCAAACAACTGCTCATCTTACCCTGCCGGATTTACAAAGCTGGTTCTCTCCCAATGAGGAACTCCAAAATGGGGCCCGGTTTCCCTTGCGGCTTCTTTTGAACAGAACCCCGAAATGGGTTCACTCAAAAAGTGGCCCCAACTGCTCAAAATATCCCCTTGAGTTCCCGCAGTCCCCAAAGGTCTTCCCCCTCAAATGGACCATCCTCAACTGGCCGCTGCGAAGGCCGGAAGGAGCCACGGTTTGGCCAAAGGAGTCTTTCGGCCGGGGAGTCCCAACCAGAGGGGGCGCCCCCGTTTTTGTTCTCTCCTGGGTGTGAGGGAGTTCCCCTCTTTTCGTAGGGGAGCCCCCAACTGTTGGCTGTTTTCCTTTTTTGGGTTTTGCCCCGCCTAAGAAGACAAGCACAAGTCGAGGTGGTCGTTTTGGTCTCCCTTGATCGGGTCGTCATGAGTTGGTGGTTTGGATCGGCGCTTGGATTCGGAGTTCAACCCCTTCTTGTAGAGGGTTCTATGGGAAACTGTCCGCTTCACCACCACCAGGCTCTAACCACAGGGCTCCAAGCCAAGTGGGAAGCTGACTTTCAAACCCAACCGGAAAAAACACTTGGTACCAACTGAAGAGAGGAGAAGAAAGAGCCTGTCCGTTTCACCACCCAACCAGGATCCAAACCACACCACCAAGTGCAGGGAGGCTGACATATAAGGCAACCCAAAAAGGGTCCCAGCCCGGGCTGGGTCACTAAAAGAGCGAGAAAAAACGAGGCTGACTTGAGGCCCCCCAACCCAAAAAGGGTTACGAGCCCAAGGGGTCGCCCCACTCAAAAAGATGAACGAGGGATCCGCCAGGTGGAGCTCCGAGTGGCGGTCAAGGCGGGACGGTGGGCGGCTGGCGTGGTGGGACGTGTTCACCGAAGGGGGGGGGGTACAGCGAAAAAAAAACCGTAGGGACACGTGTGAAAGCGGAAAGGGGCCAAACAGAACCAGAGGGGATTCTTGGATGATGCATTTTTTTCAGGGCGTAACTCTTGTGCTTTCCCTTTCAATACCCAACAAAAGAAGGTACCAACTCAAAAAATGTCGAGCCACCCATTTGCAAAATCCCAGGAGTCTCCTTTATTGTTGTTGCAGCACGTGCGAGATTTTTGCGAAGGTTGGCTTGCAATGTGGGCTAAGTCGGGTGAATGTCCATGTACGGGCGGCCTGCTGGTCCCTGCCAAAACCCCCTGAATTCATTGAATTCTTCAGTTGCCCTCCCCCAAACGGAAACGAACAATACCCTCAAAAGTGGTCGACCTGCATCCCGTGTCCATCCAAATGGTTTCCCTCTACTTCAAGAAACTCGAAAAATAAGGGATGCAAATGAAACGCCTGGTTTTGAACCTGTTGCTTGCCAAAAACACGGTTTTTCAATAAAACAACTGGTTTTATTACTTGAAACAGAAGCAACGTACTACGAAAAAACAAAAACGCACAACAACACCATACCGCAGCCGTTCAAAACCAATACAAAAACCTACGTTTATGTGCTTTTCAAAAAAACCGGGTTTTCCCACGAAGAACCTATTTTTTCACCTTCAAAATAAACGGTTCTTGAAGTAGAGGGTTTAGTTGTCTCCAAATGGGTTCGTCTCAAACTAGGGATTCCCCCCCCCCCCCCCCGAACCAGTGGTTTTCCCGTTCTTCCTTTTAAATCCACCCCAAAAAGGATAGGTTTTCGCCTGGGTTGAGAGACACCCTCACCGCGAGGATTTGTCTCGGGACGTGGCGCCGGAGAAGTTTCGGTCCAAGGCGAAGTCCGTGGGAGGCTTCGTCTTCGGGCGTCTTGGAAAACGGCGAGACATTTTTGTCGCCGCCGGCCGTTTTCGGGGGACACGGCCGGCGCAAGTTGCGCGATGTATTTTTTCTTGGTCCTCGGCTCGGCTCACCAAAACCCGTGGCAGAACATGGGGGTTGATCAAAAAAGGTCTGGTAAACATGAGGGATGGCCAGCAGGGAAACCACAAAAGATGAGATTTCCCGACATGGGAAAAATTACCCTTGGTAATTGGCCGAATGAAATACTGGTCAACCCCCACATCGGTTTGGTTTCCTTCGGTTTTCTTTGGGACCTCATGTTCTACCCGTTCGCCAGGGTCTGGGAAAAGATTTTGCGGGGACAGGCAGTACAACCCAAAGCAGCCGTTTGGAGGCTCCCTTAGGTTTTATACGCCAGTTGTATTCCGGCACCATTGCATTCAGTGGGAAATGCCCGACATGGCGGACAGGGCCAATAGAACTGAGCGTTTTCTTGAAACGGGGCCGACGAAGTGCGACGATTTGGCGATGACGCTCGGCGTGTTGTGTAGCAAGTCTTGCTAGACTCCAAAATGAGCTAAGCCGATCTGGAACCGAGCACAAGTTGCAAGTTTGCACTGTGCACTGTGCACCGTGGAGCAGCTTACACTGGGTTTGAATTGGAGTGACAAAAAAAGGAATTCCGACTTCTTTCCTTGTCAAGCATCCCCGGCCGGCCAGCCTTGGAATGCGGCGGAGCTCGGAATCATTGGGCCAAGGCTGCTGGTCTTTCCGCAGGGCACCAAGAGCGCCCCAGAGCATGCGAGGAAGAATCGGCCAGGCGCGGACGGAGGGTTGATGCGCGCAGAGAGCAACAAAAAGGTGTATGACCAGAAGCTGAAGAGTGCTCAAATCCTTTTTGTTGGGAGTTTTTGATGGGAGGTTCTACTATTTGAGTAGGTGACGTTGATTTTGTTTTAGGTCCTTGCGAAATACAGTAACCTCATCAAACAATATAGCAATTGAAGCAGCCTTTCTTGGATGACGGCAAGAGGATCCCCGCTCTTTGAGTTTGGGCTCATGTCTCACGGTGGTTGGGGGCCTTGAGTCGATTACCTTCCTCTCGCGCATGTGTATGAAACAACTTGGAAGTTTGGAGCTGCAAAGGTTGACTCAGTCAACAGAAGTTGGCGGGCTGATCACAAACGCCAGCACAAACATCATGATGAGTCCACTTCACCCCACCAGGCTCCCGTTGTTTTTTTTGAGGAGGCATGGAGGCGAATCGGAAGGACAAATCAGAAAGCAGCCAGCCTCACCCAGATGCCGGGTTTTGGGTTTGGTTTGATTTTGGGTCGACCGACCGGAGGTTGGATTTCACAGATTCCACTCTGGCACCGGGTGTTTGAGTCCACAGAGCTGCGAAGGTAAGAAGGACAGTTTACAGAGGCATGGAGGTGAATCGACAGGTCCCAGCCCTCACCCGGACAACTTTTTTTCCTTCTTTTTAACGATATCGAGAGGCGACAGAGCCTCCAGGTAAGAAGGACGATGACAAGAAAGATGACAAGGAGGACGAGAAGTCCAAGGTGCTCCGCACCAAGAAGGCGGCTCTGCAGGCAGGGTTCGCGCGCGGGAGTGTTCAGGTCTGTTAGGCGGGCTTGCTTGGTTTGTCTTTGCAGGTGTTGATGTTTCTGGTAGCTAGGGTTTTAGATAGTCGGGTTTTCAGGTTTAAAGTAAGTTTGTAGGTTTGTTTGGTCGGTCTGTATGTCTGTCTGGTCTATCGGTCGGTCGGTCTGTTTGTCTGAAATTTGTCGGTCGGTCTGTCCGTCGGTCGGTCTTTGATTTTTCGGAATGTTTCAAGGGCTTTCTCTCCGTCCAGTCTTCTTGCGATTTTACGTGGAGCGGAAACCTGTGACCAACTTGGCAGGGGAACCAGGACGTGAAGCCCGATCTTCCAACTAGAACATCTTAGTTGAAATGAGGTACCGTGTTCTAGAAGCTTTTTGCTCTAGAAACCCCGGACCCGGGAACACACACATATGTATGTACCAGTACTTGTGTCCCAGCTTGGCGATCGGCTTTCTGCAAGGGACCCCTTTGCTGCGAAAAAGGTAGACCGCTTGGATGGTTTTTCTCTGGGAGCCATAGTAGAAGACACCATCTCCAATTTGGCGGTGTGTGTTTTGATTAGGTCACTAAATATGAAGCCAGGTCATACTCACTGGTGAAAACTGAAATCCCCGGGAGCACACATGCCGGGCTGCGCGCCATTCTAAAGCACCTCCCCAATATGTTCCTGTGACAGAAAGCAGCAATCACTCGACAAAAAGCAGCAACCACTTTGTATCCATCTTATATCCATCTTCTTGTGTTCACGGCCAGGATCCTCGTTCTCTTATATTTGTGTATCACCTTTGCTGCTCATTCATGCAAGACAGGGTTTTGCAGCGAATGTGTGCGAGCGATCATATGCTGCCTTTCAAGTGGCATCACATTCTGGGATCACTAGAGAGCGGAAGAAAGAAGGTGCACTTGGAGCTTTTTTTGAGTCCCAAAAGATGCCTTTTGAGATACCACCGGTAGGCATTCTTAATGCCTCGTTCCCAGTTTCCGGGGTGGTGCTCTGGTACCACAGAAGGTTTTTTTTTTTTTTCTGCCAAGCCGCCTACAGCGGCGGTTGTGTGGGCACGCGAAAATGCAGGAGAAGGAGAAGGTGAAGGCGGCGCTTTTGAAAGAGGTGCCCAAGGAGAAGGACAACGCCGAAGATGGCGCGAAGAAGGAGGACGGGAAGGACCGGATGACCTGCGTCGGTCAATATCTCCAGTCTGGGAGGGCCAGTTTGGGAGGGCAAAATGGGGGAGCAACGAAAAAATGCCATGTGCGGTACATCGGTCAATATATCCAGTTTGGCCAGGCCATGCGGGAGGGCCATTGGGGGGACTCACGAAAAAAGGCCATGTGCGGTGGCTGCATATTTTTGAGCGTGGCTCGCATGGATCCGGCCTCAAAACCTCCCTCTCTCTCTCTATCTCGCTACTGACGGCAAGTTGCGGCCGCGTTTCCTCGGCGTTTTCTCCGCAAGTTTCTGCAACTGGTTGCCGTTTGGTGGTTTTCGGAGGCTTCAGTTTCCTCGGCTCCAGTGTCCGAAGACGGCTACCGAGAAAGCCTTCGTTTCGTGTGTGGACCTCATGGGGGCGAACCATATGACCCCGGCGTACCTTAACTTTGGCGCACCTTGCTTGGATGTTGGGACTTCAGCTTTTGCCAACTAATGGGGTTTCCACTAAACCACTAAAAGTTAAGCTTTTAGCAGGGGAGCAGAAAGCAGCCGAGTTAAAGCAGATACCGCTACATGAGCTATGGCCCGTCGACGAAAGTCGGCAAGCGTGAAGGGAGTTTGCGAAGTTTGACCGGCAGCATGTTCAAGTTATGCCTAAAACAGGACTGCAGAAATGGTTTCTTCTTTCAGGCTGGTGACTTTGAGCGCATGCCAAACTCGAACTACACGGCATCACCAAAGTAGCAGCTCAAGTAACGGAGTCGCTTGAGGTTCGTGCCTTGTTTTGGTCGGACTGCAGAAAAATGCCAACAAGGATCCTGACATGTCGAAGATTCCGGCAAGCGGCCCATTCACCTAACAAATCTGAAATCTGATTTTAGTGCTCAAAGTCAGACTCTGATTTCAATGTTTTGAGGCCGGTGAGGTTTTCACGACAAAGGCTTTTCTCGCATATTCACTGGAAAACCAATCCAGTGGCCAACCTTTGAGCCAAAGGCTGATGCGCAGGATTCCCTGTCGGCCATCGTTCATTTGGTGTTTCGTAAATAAGGGCCCGTGTCATTCTGTGGCTTAGGCTTGAGGTCTATTCCGGTCGCTTCCGCTGAAAATGCTTAAAAACCATAGGATTGACGATTCATGTAGGCTCACAGTGCGCTTTTTTGCCATTGGTTGTTTCCTTGTGCTCCACGATCTTCCCACGTGAACCCTTGCTACATCGAAGGCCACGTGTTCCTCTGGTTTGGGGGGACCCCGTCTTAGATTCGAGAGGGAAGCATCTTAGAGACTGGCAACCTCCACTGCAATGCGGGGTTGGTGGAAACTGCCAAAGTTCCCCCTAGTGGAAATCATAGGGTACCCACCCAAACCCTACAAATATTGGGACAAACCAAACCTACAAAAAATCGGACAAACCACCTAAGCCCTACACACATATTGGGACAGACCACCTAAGCCCTACAAAATATTGGGACACAGCACCTAAACCCTACACAATTACTGGAACCAACCATCTAAACGCTACACAATTATTGGGAGAAACCACCTAAACCCCGCAAATATTGAGACAAACCACCTAAGCCCTGCAAAAAAACAATGGCAGAAACCGCTACACAAATATTGGGACAACCCGCCTAAAGCCTACACAAGATGTTGGGACAAACCACCCAAACCCTATGAATATTGGGACAGACCACCTAAGCCCTACAAAATATTGGGACACAGCACCTAAACCCTCCACAATTATTGGCACCAACCATCTAAATGCTACACAATTATTGGGAGAAACCACCTAAACCCCACAAATATTGAGACAAACCACCTAAGCACTGCAAAAAAACAATGGCAGAAACCGCTACACAAATATTGGGACAACCCACCTAAAGCCTACACAAGATATTGGGACAAACCACCCAAACCCTATGAATATTGGGACAGACCACCTAAGCCCTACAAAATATTGGGACACAGCACCTAAACCCTACACAATTATTGGCACCAACCATCTAAATGCTACACAATTATTGGGAGAAACCACCTAAACCCCGCAAATATTGAGACAAACCACCTAAGCCCTGCCAAAAAGCAATGGCAGAAACCGCTACACAAATATTGGGACAACCCACCTAAAGCCTACACAAGATATTGGGACAAACCACCCAAACCCTATGAATATTGGGACAGACCACCTAAGCCCTACAAAATATTGGGAGACAGCACCTAAACCCTCCACAATTATTGGCACCAACCATCTAAATGCTACACAATTATTGGGAGAAACCACCTAAACCCCGCAAATATTGAGACAAACCACCTAAGCACTGCAATATATATATATATATACATATATATATATATAGACGTACATATATATATATATAAACACACACATACATACATATATATATATATACATATATATATATATATACATATATATATATATATATGGCAGAAACCACCTAAACCCTTCAAATATTGGGACAAACCAACCCTACAAAAAATGGGACAAACCACCTAAGCCCTACAACATATTGGGAGAACACACCTGAACCCTACATTTTTTGGGACAAACCACCTAAACGCTACAAACATATCGGGAGAACCACACCCACCAACAGGTGCGAATCGGCGCGGATTTTCTCTCCCATCCTACAGGACAAGTCTGTGGATGAAACCCATTGGGAGAAGCATTCGGGACAAACCACCTGCCAATATTTTGGGACACACGACCTACCAATATTTTGGGACACACCACCTGCCAATATTTTGGGACAAACCAGCTAACCCATAATTTGGGACAAACCACCTAGACATCGTTTGGATGAACCATCTACACACATTTTGGGCCAAACCACAAACCTCCCAACTGCCTCACACCGCGGATTTTCTCCGTCCACGTCCAAGCGTCCGAGGACAAGAAGGACACTCGCTGGATCTCCGCCTTCGTTGAGGCCCGGCCCAGCGAGGACTACCCGGCCCACTGGTACTTCGAGGACGTGCAGTTCCTGGTGTCGCTGATCAACTTCCAGGAGACATTTTCCCCAACGAAGCGGGAAAAGAAACACACACACACACACACACTACATGTGAGAAGTGGGAACTGGCATGGGAGGTGAGAGACACCAAACTCTGTTCACTTCTCCTATTTGCTTCCTCTGTGCACTTTCAGGGATCCTTCTTTCAGAGAACTGTCGATGCCAGGAAAAGTGGGGAAGCAAAGAACGATGGGTGACAACGATCCGGATGGGGTCAACCATTAGAAAACAAGCCCCATCTGCCGATGCGGCCCTGCCCCCGTGTGTTGCTTCAAGTGGGGTCAACCATTAGAAAACAACCCCATCCGCCGATGCGGCCCTGCACCCCTGTGGTCCTTCAAAGTGGGAACAGAGTCAAGCGGAAACCTCCAACCTCCAAACCACCGTTTCGGCTTTAACCAACCAACTCGTGGGACGCTGTTCTGAGAATTGTTCTCCATCAACTGGGAAGCTGATATTTGTGTGTTTGCGTAAACCACCAAGAATCACCAAACCTCCAAACCACCATCTCGTGGGAAGCTGATCTTTGAGCATGTATTTCTGTCTTCCGCCATGAAAATGCCGCTTCCTTGTTTTTTCTTTAGGACTTGAAGAAGTCCATCGTGAAGCACGACAAGCACACCTTCTCCCCGGTGGAGTCCTCTGACGGCAAGGCGGGATCCGCGGGCTGGGATGCCATCGCCTAGAAGGCTTGTGAGGCGCTTCCGTGGGTCAGTGCAAATCGAGTCTCTCATGTACTTCTTGGCGGTTGGTTTGCTTTTAGATCTTTGTAGGTGGAGTAGTTGGGTTTCAGAATTTAACCCACTAAAAAATTTCGGCTTTTAGCAGGGCATCTGAAAACGGAGAGCCGAGGCCCAGGTATTGATCTCATGCAGATTCGCATGGACCCCCCCAAGTATCATTGCAGAAGAGAAAGACAACAATATTGTCAGACCATCCACGACGCTTTCATTGAGGGCGGAGCTGATTTTGATCACTCACCCAGCGCATAACTCACTGAATTGACATGCAACCGATTGTAAGTCGGTTCTTGGTGAGCTTGACTAGTCACTCCATGGGCGGTAGGGACCGACGATTGATTTACTTGCTTGGGCCGTGGGTTGGTGATGAACGCCTTGGGAGTTTAAACAATCATCATACGGGTTTCAATAAGGCGAAGCATAACAAACGACCCACAATTAGCAGAGTTTTGATCGCAGCACTAATGCCTACGGCTTCATCACTTATATTGTTGACATGGCAAATTGTTGGGACGAGACGTCGAATCTGACCTGGCGCGTGTTCATCTCCGAGGAGCTGACATTCTGCAAGACTCATACATAATCTCGCAAGCGTACGCGTTGGAACCTTGCCCCTGTAGCCCTAAAAGGCATGTTGAAAGAAACAACGTGTTCCGGAGGTCAAGGTCGCTTAGACTCATTTGATCATCAACGTCAAAAATTGTCACTAAATCAACCCCCTGAGCTCCAGACCACCGTCCCAAAGATGCGCAACTCTCTCAGTTCCCTCGATCCAGAGAAGCGGAAAGACATTGAGGAAGAGAAGGGTGGCATTCCTGATTTTGCGGTGACATCCTTTCGATGATGATTTCCCTCTCCAGGTTTTCCTTCGGATTGTTCACCTTTTGGTTTTTCCCTTTGTCAAGTGTGTCGTAGTGCATGATACGTAGCCTCGCGCGTGTTTTGAGAGATTTGTCCGAACTTAAAGCAGATGCTCACTCTGCACTTTTTTCAGTGGCTAAAGCAAACACCACTGCGCCCGCTACAGGCAATTGAGCCGTGCCCACTATGTCCATTAAAGCACGTTTTCGAATAGATTCAATTTCGAGATTCGATGAGTGGAACAAACATAGGGTCAGTGTTTTTTGGGGCCGACTGAGCATTCCACTCATTCGCAATCTATCCGTCCAAAGATTCATGCAGGACAGTAGCATTCTCGCAGCGTGTTCAGTCCTCAGTGTATACACTCGACTTGCAAACCAAGCTGAACCTGGGCACTGAGCCAGGGGTAAATCTAGAGGAGCATGAGGTTTTCATAGAGGTCTCTCCGAGGCTTCTATTCGGCCCTCAGTCACACAAGCATCAAGAATCATCATGGCGACACCCCACCCAACCACCCCGAAGCTCTCCAGTCAATTCATGCTCGTCGACCTCGCAAATACATGATCCTATGTATCGGGCATTCTTTCCCTCGAAATCTCAAAAGCATTCTTTCTCCCTAATCTGCCGGGGGTTTATCAGAATCTGCGCATTTCTTCGTCCTGGCACCTCCTGTCCGGCCATGTGTTTTTTTCTTTTTCTTTCGGACTCGGAGATCTCCAGGCCATTGACCGGGGCTGGCACGACTTCGTCCACTGCGACGAGGTGACCCTCCGGAGCAGCGGCTTTGTGGACAAGGACCGCATTGGACGAATTCCCCCGCCCCCAGATGTGTCACGTTGGGGGGAAGGTGTCGGGGAATTGAAGGGAAAGTTGTGAGGATGGCAACAACAACTGTTTTTTTTGTTTATTTTGACCTGTAGGAGTCAAGGTATGCCAATAAAGCGGGTTTGGAACTCGTGTTTGAAGCTCCTGTTTGTGCTGGAGCAATCCCGATTCGATTTGGTTTCCTTTCTCAGGGACTCAAGTTAAAACCGGTTCATTCTTACCCGGATTCGCTCCGATTCGGTCCTTCCCTATGGCATTGGAACCTGGCAGGACGACACCGTGTGCTTCCGCGCCGCGGCGCGAAAGAGCGAGAGCGCAAGCGACTTCAGGGCTGTGACCTGGGGAACTTGTCATGGGTTTCACGACCAAATCTCGTGAAATAATTGGTACGGGGGATTCCATGAAAGAAGCATGGTTTGTTTTTTGGTTTCCACTTGAAAGCACCAGTGAAGCCCTTGATTCTTCTTTTCCGGGAGCGCGATTTGGGGTCAACACGTGAATCCTGGGTTTGGCGGATTGGCGGATAGGTTCCCCTTCGAGCAGCTCTTGCGCTGCTTGGGAGATCCAAACACCAAAAAACTCGGGTGGCTTCTCACGAGAATGCTGGGTGACAAGAATGAATCGGGATCGGATCATCAACCTTTACATTTTGGAAAGGAAGGGTTGGCTTCCCACGATGGCAGTCATAAGAAAGAAACTGGAAGCACGCCAGACACGTAAATTGTGGGCTTGCATTTGTTGCTTGTGTGTGCGTGCGTGCGCGTGCGCGTGCGCGTGCGCGTGCGCGTGTGCGTGTGTGCGTGTGCGTGTGCGTGTGCGTGTGCGTGTGCGTGTGCGTGCACGTGCGTGCGCGCGCGCGCGCGCGCGCGGCGCGTGTGCGTGTGCGTGTGCGTGTGCGTGTGCGTGTGCGTGTGCGTGTGCGTGTGCGTGTGCGTGTGCGTGTGCGTGTGCGTGTGCGTGTGCGTGTGTGCGTGTGCGTGTGCGTGTGCGTGTGCGTGTGCGTGTGCGTGTGCGTGTGCGTGTGCGTGTGCGTGTGCGTGTGCGTGTGCGTGTGCGTGTGTGTGTGCGTGTGCGTGTGCGTGTGCGTGTGCGTGTGCGTGTGCGTGTGTGTGTGTGTGTGTGTGTGTGTGTGTGTGTGTGTGTGTGTGTGTGTGTGTGTGTGTGTGTGTGTGTGTGTGTGTGTGTGTGTGTGTGTGTTTGGTTGGTTGCTTGCGCTGTCGGATGTGGTTTGGTTTTTTGGTTGTGAGCTTGCTTCGATTGCTTGCCTTGCTTTGCCTGTTCAATTGCTTTGCATTTGACTTTGATTTTGCTTTGCTTCGCTTGCTTCCTTGCTTTCGTTCGTTGATTTGGATCTGCCTGTTTGCTTGTTGGGCGCATCCAGCGCCCTTCGAGCCTCAGGCGCTTCGGTGTACCTGGCCGGCGGGGCAATGAAGGTGAACAGCAAGAACAAGTCCAGATACATGAGCTTGGGCACCTCGGCTTCGTAAGTCCTCAGGTTTCGCAGGTAGGCAAATGTCTAGGGGTTGATTCCAACCAGTCTTTTCAAGCATCGTTCTTTTTAAAGATCAGCTGTTTCCCAGCATTTTGGGTAGTTTTTTAGAAAGAAGGATGCCTGGAAAGAATGGGCAAGGTACCCCTAGAAAATCCGCACATTTCAATTTTGTAGTTGCACCTGTGGCAGTCGAGAGAGAGTGATGCTGAGGCAAGATCGACCCTGGTTTGTATGAGCAGCTTGGCTTGGATGAGCTCTCGCCTAGTTGCTCAAGCTTTATCGATTTCTCCTGGTCGTCATTGGGTTGACATGTGGTTGGGACAACCCTTGTCACGGTTTCGATTGTGGACACCATGCCAAGGATCTCATTGCAATCACAACAGCCCTGTCCTATGGTATAGAATTGTGGGTCGCAAATTATGCAAGCCACGAGCCAGCCAGCTATGGTTGCGATAAACAAGTGGTTTCAGGCGGGCCAAATGAATCACCTTGAAAGAGACAACGTCGCCGGGATTTGGGGGTGTCTTTTTTTGAGGGGGCGTTGGTTTAGAGGGAACCAAAAGGAACACAACCATGTTGTCGGGTCCCCTAAAAAAACTCACCCGTTTGAATCGGAACAACCATTTCCCACGTTGGCGCCGGCCCTCAGGAAAGTTCCCAACTACCTGAACAGCATCGTGCAGGTTTGGTACCACCTTGGATTCTTCCGCAACGCGGGGCCCCGAGTCGAGTGCAGAGTGCGGAGGATGATTTCTTGAAGGGCTTCATTCTCAAAGGCCTTGACAGCTTTTCCCGTTTGGTGCCCTGAAGATGGCAGATGATTCGCTTGCAAGAAAGCGGAGCTGGGAGTTTTTCACCAGGCTCCCAATTGCAACGGTGGTTTTGTGACATGCTTTGAGGCGATCTACTCGGCGTCCATCACCGGGCAGATGTCGGGGCAGAAGAAATCCTGCGTGGCTTGGTGTGCAAGCTGAGTCGCCCCTTCCTGTTGCAAGGAGCGCAGCTATAAGTTGCCGGGAGAGCATTCAGACTCCTCTACCTAGCAGAAATGTTCGGGATTCTTTTGAAAGTCCCATCTAAGAAGGATACATTGTGTGAAGGGCCCGTTCCTTGTTCACCACCCCCACCAGCTCCACCCCCACCTCCCTTGGGAGTTCTTTGCCACCGTCTCCCGAGCGTGGCCCAGGTGTTGCCAGCCCTACGGGAAATCTTTGTTCGGCTGCAGGCGATTGGGCCAAAGCCCTGGGGGGGGGTTGGGCCAGGGTCTAGGCGATGGATCTGCCCATAGCGAGCTCACCTAGAACGAGCGAAAGCGACGGTAAATGTCCTTGAGGATCCAATTCTGAATTCAGCTTTTGGAATTATGGTAAGAGTTGCAGATGGATGGCACAAACAAGGCACCCAGTGAAAGATCGGCTCAGCACTCGAAGTAACTCAGCTCCTTGGCTGTAGCTTGGAATAATCGGGCCCTCACCTCGTTTGATAGCCAGATAGGGGTTGATTAAAAGGTTCTTCACCTGGGACTATTGCTTGGAACCCCCAAAACGATGATATTTCAACCATGAAATGGGAAGGCCGAAGGGAATCTTGATCAACCTCTCAATCAAGTTGCGGGGCCAAGTTTGATAGTCTTGCATTCTACGGCAATTTCCATAGCAGGGTCGACTTGCGCAATATTTAGGGAGCCTAAGGGAACCTGCATGGAGGGGGTTTTGATCAGTGTCAACCGAATTCCTCCCCCCCCAGGTTTTGAATCGTGCCCCTTCCACACGTGAGGTCTCTTAGCAATCCGGCTTGAAGAGTGGCGATTTCTCAGGCTTGAAGAGTGGCGATTTCTCAACAGAACCGGGATCTTCCCTGCAAGATCATGCGTGGCCTGCCAGGATTCTATGCATGTGTATATCTATGCATAGATACATATATATATATATACACACATGTATAGACATATATATATATATATATATATATGTACAAGTGTCAAGTATACACACGCGATTACATGCAGAACAATCTGATGAAAGGGAAAGCTAGGTGGAGAAAGGCGGGCTGCCGATTCTCAAGCATTCTCGTATGAAAGCTCTCGATACAAGGGTCGGGCACTGGCCTTGCTTGGCAGAAGCCAGATACATTCAATCTTCGGAACATGGTCTCAAACAGCCAGTTGGCGAGACTTGAATGCTGACAAATTGTCTGGGCATAGTTGCCATTGCCTTTTTGACATGCACGGTATTGTCATGACTGACTGTTGCGGATTGATATGCAGAAACAGCCTCAGCTAGCCATGAGCAACGGGCAACAGTCCTCGCAGTCTATTGTCAATTTGGGAAGACATGGCGGGCTTGGGCCCCAACTTCCTGACGAAACGTCCAATTGTCCATGTTGTTTTGGGGAAGGAGTCGCATATTGTCCCAAGCGCTATGTAATTTTTGAAAGGCAGGCTTTTTGGGTTGTTTATGAACGGACGCGTCAGGAATTGTTCCCGGCCCCTCGACTCTGTTTTCAGGAAACATCGGGAAGAGTAAAACCTGGGGCCTTAGGTTTTTCTTGGCTACTTGGCTCTCGGCTCTTCTCTTAGCTCTGCTCCTTATGCTTTCTGCCCATTCTATAGCAAGCTCAACTGAGCGAGCTCACCAGGACAAAGGTCCTTGAAACCAATTCTTAAATCCGCTTCTGGAATTGTAGTAGCATTTGCAGATGGATGGCACAAACAAGGCACTAAAGACCGGCGGCACTCCAAGTACGTTTTGCCTTTCCCGCTGCGCCAGCACCGCACGATGCCGGCGTCCTGCTCGGTGCTTTGCGCCGCCTTTGGGCGCAAGGGCTGGTCTCGCGTCTGCAAGGCCGGGGGGTGCGGGGAGCGGCGGTGGCGGTTCGGGCGGCGGTTCGGGAAGTTTCAGTGAGGATGGCGCCAGAGGAGTGTTTCTTGTATTTTGTTTGTTTTGGAAGGACGCTCGCAGTCATCTTCTTGGACATCTTGCCTGTCATTTATCATCCTTCGGGTTTGCCTCTCCTTTTTGACACATTTATCATCGTCATCCTGGGGACCAACTTCTGTTGGAGTTTGTTGCTAATTGGCGGTTTCTCAGACATAAAGATGTATTACAGTATGTACAGATATACACAAATGACTTGTCTCGTGAGGGCCGCTCTACTCGATCCGACACTTCGGAGTAGTCCGAAGCTACACGCGCTTGTTTTGATTTGGCTGGCCTATCGTTGTCACGGTCCAACGAAGAGAGACCCGTGCAAGCTGAACCTTGTTGGTTGGTGAATGATTTAATTATGTGTTCATCCAGAAGAATCCAATGGATGAATCCAACTAGCTTTCAAAACCTGGCAGACCCCCTTTCCAAGCTTAGCCAAAAGAGGGGCGGCTGGAGGTCCGGCCAATCACTAGATTGAGCTATGTCACCCATTTAGCTAGGCTTTTGGTGTCCCTTGTAGCACGTTCAAATATATGAATTGGGGTGGACGCACAGCCATTGTTGAAACCCTCCTGCCTGCGAAATTTTGCAAGACTCAAGACCAACAAAGAACCAAGACAATTGGACAGGCACCTTTCTTCCTAGATCCACACAACACTTTGAGCTTTTTGAACCTTTCCCCGGTGCGTCCTTTTTTCTCCCAACACAGCCTCCGGGGTCTTAGCATTTCCTGAGTTTTTCGTTGGGGGGCAACTCGGTGCGCAGAGCTGCATAGCGCGCACCCAGAGGTGGCCCTAGTCCCACGTTTTTTTCGGTTTGGTCCAGGCCGACCCGGACGGGTTCTGCACCGAAGTCTTCCATTGCCTGGAGTCCGAGTTCATCCCCTCGGAGATGCTCAAGGCTCGAGTCGACTCGAGATCTGCGCGTTTTTCGCCTTCCGTCCTACGGAAATACCCATGGGAGCTGCAAGGTGGCTACCCACTATCCCCACGAACGCGCATAGAACCAGAGAGCTTTTCAAAAGGAAAGTCGTCTTCAGGACTCAGTCAGGTTGGTGACAGGATCCTGGTATTCGGCTGGTATCCAATCAGGCGGAGGAGGCGGCGGTGAAGGCAGCAGCCAAGGCGAAGGGAAAGGCGGCCAAGGCGGGAGCTTTGATCTAAGGCGGCCATGTTCGTGAAGACGTGAGTCAATGTGTGTGTGTGTGTGTCTCTGTGTGTGTGTGTGTGTGTCTCTGCGTGTGTCTCTGCGTGTGTCTGTGTGGCTGTGTTTTGTGGGTGCACCTGTTTGGGCAGGTGTTGAAGATGACAAGGAAAGCCATGCATTTTGGGGGTCCCCCCAAATGTTGAGCAACGGCCACATGTCGGTCTTGGGTTGCCAACTTGCTGTGAAGGGTTCACAGCACCAGGTCCTTAGATCAAGGCGCCATGGTCAGGCGATCCCAAAGGTGGTCGAGGTGCCGCAGGAGAACCGGGCGCTGTGGGAGACGGTGCAGGAGATGTTCGAGTTCGAGGCACGGCGCAACCAGTTGCGCCGGCGAGCGCGTGCTCGGCTGCGGGGTATGCTTTGCTGCTTGTTTTGGCGGGCGTCCTTAAAGATTCAAGCGACAAGGGTGTGCGATTGAACTATGGAAGCAAGACCTCCAGTTGCCCTAAAAACAAACATATGTGTTTGGTTTGGCAAAATTCCGTTGCGGTCGAATTGTGCATCAGTTTGACCACAGATCGCCTTTGATTTCTGGGCCTGGTGCTTGAAACGTCCTCCGTCGTGATCAGAGGTTTTTCTCCTCGCCATAGGGGGGCCTGTGTTTGCCCCAGTGCTTGCATAAGTTGCACGGGTGTTTTGGTTCCCGAGCAATCGTCAATTTGAAAGTGGCGCTGGGGGAAACATCAAATCACGATTCCAACAATTCTATGAACCGAGAAATTCTAGGAAATCCTAGAAAACCCAGGAACCATGATTCCAAGAACCGTAATTTCCCAATTCGTGCCTCTTTTGCAACCCATGCCGAACCAGACATTCTAGCACTTCCGTTTGCTTCAGAATTGTTTTTCTATTACATGTCGGTTTCAAAGGGAACCTAACAAAACTGCACATATTTTCTCATTTTTCTCAGCAAGCGAACAAGAACATGGAGGAGGACCAAACTGGCTGCCAAAACCAGAAGTTCGATCATGCTACTTCTGCCGGGTCAGAAGTCCTTGGCAGGTGGAGTGGATCGCGCAGGCGATCGACGGGGACTTCTCAGACAGCTCGGTGTACCAAGGGCCTTGCTTCACCCTGGCCGGGGTTCCCCAGTGCTGGGAGGCCCACTGCCTGAATTCCGGAACCCTAAGCAACCTTTTTGACATACCGTTTTGGCGGCAAATGAACAGTTTGGACCTGTCTTGCTCAACATCTTGAACAACTTGTGCCAGAGAGTGTTTTCCCTTTGTTCTGTCCCACAAAAAGTTGCGGGTTGGGGATCCCTCGTCATTTTGACACAACCCAGATGGGCACACCCCAATACACCCTGAACAACCTCAGCCAAGCAATCAATCAGTAAACATGTCATTTGAGGGAATTACGTCGGGAGCAGTTCAGCCGATTTAGAGAGAAATCCATTTTGGTTCCGTGTCTCAGCTTCAAGGATGGACTACGAAAAACCATGCGTGAAGCCTTGTCCAAGTCCAAGAGTCTGCAGCTCGCATCTAAGGATACATCAAGCTTTTTCTCGATGTTCTCCTGTTTTGCGCCAGAGACTAGGTTTGACACAGATCCGAAAGGATGCAGAAGGCAGCCTGACTTGTTGGAATTGTGACGGGGCTGAGATGTTGCTCTAGTGTTTTTGCAAAGGTTACGGACATCTCCTGATGATTTCTCCGACTGAGACGGACATGGCGAATTCGACGGTCAACGGTCAGGGGATGTCCTTATGGCACTGGCCAGGGAGTATCATCCACTTGTGGTCGGGGGCAAAATCTTGCGAGCCATTACATTGAAGTGCCACTGTATGGCAGGGGTCCTTGTATTGGATGATTGAAGCATCATCCTGGCAAAAGGGGGGCATCGAAACGAAACATGACTTCTTCCTTTCATAAAAAGTCCATCATGGACGCTTCCACAAAAGTTTCAGGTTCCTTTCGCAGTGGGTCTCCTAAGTCCAAAAGCCCAAACCCCCCAAAAATCCCCCTACGGAAGGCACTTGGCTTGATTGGGCTTGGGCGCCTTGGCTTGCCGGCTGTAGGTGGTGCGCGGGTTCAAGACCTTGGAGGACACGACCGGGCGGTCGTGGCCGTGGCCCAGCTCGCGAGTGATCGAATTGGGGGGGGGGAAGGGTTGGGATCGGCTTTCTCCAGCATTGGCTGAGAGCATGGGATTGTCACTCCTTTTTTGAGGCTACTTCTTGATTGCTAGGTTTTGTCCCTGGGTAACACCTTGAGGTACATCTTGATTGGTAGGATTTTTACAGGAGCGGACAAGCCAGAAGGAACACACATTTATTTTCCTTTTTTTTGGCTTTGGGCGGGGGCCCAAAACAGACATACACACACAGCACATGTGCGGGAGGCCTCCAAGCGTCGGAATATTCTCATGAACATTGGGTGGATATGGCCTGTCACAAGGACGCTTGCTGGAGGGCAACTCCAAACGGGCAACTCCTTTTGTTTTCACCAAGAGCCAAGATGGTTGCATTGAAGCTCTCCCGAGCACCTGTCATTGGGGGTGAACACAGAACCAGTAGAAGAAACTCACACATCCCCTTGGCCCAAGTCAAGAAGGCGAGCGCCCAGCTTTTGGCGGAGTTCTGGTGGTGTTCCTTGCCCACTGGTTTCCCCCTCGGGCTGATGAATGCTTGTGACCAGTGGGTCAGTCCATTCAAGGGGCTTGTTGGCTTTTACGGGGTTTCTGTGCTTTTTGCAAGCACATGTCCCCTTTCAACTTGTGGTGTGTATGCGATGCTCCTTTTCCCACTGACAGGTCAAGGAGAAACATATTTTGCTATGGTTTTGCGAGCAAGGGTATATACGGCCATACATACATACAGACAGACAGACAGACGACAGCCAGACAGAGAGACAAGCAGGCACACAGACACACAGACACACAGACACACAGACACACAGACACACAGACACACAGACACACAGACACATACACACATACACACACATATACACACACATATATACACACATACACACACGCACACAGCCACACAAACACACATAGACAGACACAGATACACGCAGACACAGATACATACACACATATATACATACATACGTACATACCTACCTACCTACCTACCTACCTACCTACCTACATTCCTGCATGCATGCATGCATGGTGTATGCATGCATACACACATGCATGCATACACACATGCATGCATACACACATGCACACATACACATACATATACATACATATATATATATATATACATCTACATACATAATCATACATACATACACACATGCACACATACACATACATATACATACATATACATACATATACATACAAATACATACACACACACATGCATACATACATACATACATAGATAGATGGATAGATAGATAGATACATACATACATACATACATACATACATACATACATACATACATACACATACACATACATACACATACAAACACATACAAACACATACATACACACACATACACATACACATACACATACACATACACATACATATACATATACATATACATACACATACATACATACTTACATACATATCTACATACATACATATACATACATATACATACATATACATACATATTCATACATACACATACATACACATACATACACATACATACCCAGACATAAACACACATACACAAACATATACATACATACATAGATGGATAGATAGATCGATAGATAGATACATACATACATACATACATACATACGCACACACATACACACACATACACACACACACATACATACATACATACATACATACATACATACATACATACATACATACATACATACATACATACATACATACATACATACATACATACATACATACATACATACATACATACATACATACATACATACATACATACATACATACATACATACATACACATACACATACATACATACATACATACATACATACATACATACATACACACACACACACATACCTACATACATACATACATACATACATACATACATACATACATACATACATACATACATACATACATACACACATACGTACATGTATATGTGCATATACATGTACATACATATACATATTCATATACATATATAGAGAGATAGATAGATAGATAGATAGATAGATACATACATACATACATACATACATACATACATGCCTGCATTTACATACATACAAACAGACACACACATATACATATACATACATATACATACGCATACATACATATGCAAACAGATACATACATATACATACATATACATACATATACATACATATACATACATATAGACACAGAGACACACACATACTTACATATGCACACATACACACATCATACAGACATACACACATACAGACACACATACATAACCGTACACACGCATTGGCACATACACGCACATACACGCATGCAGACTCACAAACACACATAAACACAAACACACAGACACACAGACACACATACACGTATACACACATTCACGCTACACACGCACACAGATACAATCAGATACATATCTATGCAACTAATACATTCATGCATATATATATATATATACAGATATCTGTATATATGTATATGCACATATTCACATGCAAAGGCCAAGCACCTGTTCTCCTCTCGGCAGGACACCTTGGACCACTACTTCTCTCCCAAGGTCATCGAGGATGGCGCTGGCCTGCGGGTGCGCACCATGCGGAAGTTCCGGCGCATGCCGCTGGGAGACAATCCGAGCCGTGGCGTGGTTTTTTTGGCTTCCCGTGGTCCCCAGCCATGCGATTCCTTAGGTCTTTTTCCTTTGGGTAGTTTTTTGGGGCATGTTTGCGCAGAAAAAAAAACATGTTTGCTGAGAAAAACTGACATGCGCTTCTAAGCGAGTGGGTTTAGTGGGTTTGGCGGTAGTTTCCACTAAACCACGAAACGTTCTCGACCTTTAGCAGGGGATCTGGGAAGATCAGTGGTATCATCTGGAAATTGTTTTGCCATCTGGTAGGGTCCCCATAAAATGAGCATAGCCAGACGTGCTTGTCGTTCCCCCGAAGTTAAAGTGATCCATAGGTTTTCTTTCTGGTTTCCTTTTTATTGGTTTGCGAGCGAT